TCCATCAATAACTACTAAAAAAAATTTTTTTAAAGACAAATATCAAAATGAATGGAAGAAATTTAATTTTTTAAAAATGACTATCATGCCAGGGAAATGAAAATTTTAAAAAGAAAGCAGGATCTCAGTTTTATCATCAGTAAAAATTAAAACAAAACATACAATGAAACAAGGATATTTGAAATAAGGATTTATTCCATAATAGAGCTTCAAGAGTTACAAGTGATTGTGTCAAATAGGATGATCAACCACCACTGTTTGTCTGGCACTGTCCTGATTTAAGAACTAAAATTCCGGGGATATAGCTGAGTTGGTAGAGCGCTTGCCTCACTTGCACAAGGCCCTGGGTTCAATCCCCAGCACCACTGAAATTCCCCATCCAGGAAACCCACCAGGCCTGGACAATCAGGGCCCTAAGTAATCAAGCATCCAAGATATCTGATTGGGTTTGGGTGTGGGTGTGTATCTGTTTCTGTGGGCTCCACAACAAGATTCAACCAACTTCAGATTAAAAATATTTGGTGAAAAAAAAGCAACTGCATCTCCACCATCTGGTCAAACTATCCCACCTCTGGGTATATGTGTCCAAAGGAAATAATGTCTATGTATTGAAGAGACACCTGCATGACTATGTTTGTTGTTGCATAGTTCACAACAGCTAAGATATGAAATTAGCCAAGGTCCCCACCAAAAGATGAATGGATAAAGAAAATGTGGTACATGTATACAATGAAATATTTATATATATATATAAATATTTATATACATACATATATCATATATACATAATAGAATATTGTTCAGCCATAAAAAGAATTATATCATATGCAGCAGAATGGGGGGAACTAGAGGAAGCTTACATTGTGAAATAAGTCAGACATAAAGACAAAAACCATATGGTCTCTTGTAGATTTAAGGAAAAAAGTTAATTAGAATGTATAATAGTGGTTTTTAGAAGGGTAGAAAATTGGGGATTGAGGAACATTGGATAATGGATATCCAAATAGAGTTAGATAGAACAAGTTTGTATACAGTATGATTATACTACTGGTGTGACTCAGCACCATTTACAGCCAGAGGAAGGAGAAGTTATGTTCCATTTGTATACAATGTGTCAAAATGCATTCTAATGTCACGTATGACTAGTTAGAATAAAAATAAAATTATATAAAACAAAAAAAAAAGTGTATATTCACAGGGACCAGTACAAAACACCTATGCTTTATAAATTTTTGACTAAAACGTCAAAATAAATGCATCTATCAAATTTTAAAGTGTCAAACCAATAAAAACTGATTTACTGCAACAGATAATATTGCATTATAATATTATAATATATTGCTGAGACTAAAACACCATTTGGGGTTTAATAGTAGAAAGATATAGCCTCAGGTTTTGGTTGCTACATATTATCAGTTTTTAAATTTTGACTTCAATAATACTAGTGCAAATAATGTCCCCAAGCATGGTGTGCCAAACAACACTAGCATCCTCAAAACCAGGTTTGCTACCTGAAGACAATCAGATCATTTAAAATTCTGTGATCCCGCCATCTTCTGAAATGCCTACATAAATGAACTGTCACTTCATACGAATAAAAACAGTCTGTGTTCCAGGTGTCTCGTGTGTAATAACTTACCAATCCTCATAAATCCACCATGAAATCAATATCATATGTTTATCCCCATGTTATCACAAGAGGAAACGGAAGAACAGAGGAGTCAAGCAACTTGCTAAAACTCTCGCAGCTGATGAAGTAGGAAAACACAGATTTGAAGTCAGGCAATCTGGCTCCATTTCACCATTATGTCAAACTGCCTATTGGGGCACTGGATCTACGTTAAATGGAGAGCTAACCCAATGATTGCTAAAGCCAACGGCAGCCACCTTTTCATTGCATTTTTACTCCAACACCTGCAGCTCATAAATTGCTGCAACTTGGTCCACAAGAAGGTGGAACTGGCATGAGATCTTCATTCTTTGCCAACATAGCAGTGGTCACCAGGAGCTGTTCTTTTGAACTTGGCAAGCCCATACCCTGTGCAGACTAACCTCTCTCCAATATTCAAACTCCCCTGCCTTCCTTGGAGCTGTGACCCAACCCATGAAGCCTGCCCCTTGCTCAAATGAAATAACCCAGAGGCTAACATAGGCCCCAGCACCTGATTTGCCATTAACATGAGCCAGAATACAATTTAATTATTATCTTAGATTAAAATTAATAACTATATCTAATGATAAAGAATACAGATTCCTCAAAATACAAATATTCTTAGAACACCAGGGCTCTGAGAGATCTGTGGTGTGATATTTTTAGCTCAGATTGAGGGACATTGCCAGAAAACAAGTGTTTTGAGCTGGGTGTGGTAGCACACACCTGTAATCCCAGAAGCCTCTCAAGTTTAAGGCCAGACTCAGTAACCTAGGGAGGCATCAGAAACTTAGTGAGACCCTGTCTTGAAATATTAAAAGGACTGGGGTGTAGCTCAATGATAAAGTGCTTGCTAACATGCCCAGGACCCTCAATTTGATCCTCAGTACTAAGAGTGGGAAAAAATATATATATGCATGAGACTCTCCTGTGTCTGATAAGGAGATGACTGAAGACATCATCCCAAACACTGCAGTATTTTTGAGCAAAGTTCCTTTCTGATCTCAGAATCAAGAATTGTGCTTCTCTTAAGAAGTTTTTGTGTTTTTCTATTCTGGACATGTGATGTTTTGTTTTCCCTGAACAGTTCTTAGCACAATTTGTAATTACACATTCATTTGTGAGATTTATTGCTGAATATCCATTTCTTGCCTTTGTCTTTAAATGCCATCAAGGCAGAGACCATGTCTCATCCCTTTTTTTCCCCCCTAGTGCTTCCCTCAGAATCTGGAACTTAGTAAGTTCTCATGGATTGTGTGTTGAGGGAACGAGATAATACATAAATAAAACATATGCACTATGGGCTGGTCAATTACCTTTTTGAATGAGCTGCTAACAAGGTTTAGAGCGGGATTTGCTTCCTGCCCTAGTCAGTGTCTCTACCTTGAGTTTCCTTTTTTCTTTTCTTTCTAAATTAGGCAGCCTTATTATAATTTATGAATCCCTGTAAACTATCTTAAAACCCTTGCGGAACAAGGCAGGAGATAAATATATTTTCTAAAGTCTTTTGTATATATATTTAAAACCTCAACACTAAATCTTCTGCCAACAAACACATTTGATCATCAGTAAACCTTAAGAATAGCTGAAGTTTGCTAACTCTAGCACTGTACTAGTGCAAAAATCAAAGCAAATTCCAATCAGAGCCCAGAAACCACAGGTGTTATTTTGGTTCAGACACACTTGAGTACTGTAGATGGAACAAGCACATTTCTAATAGGGCTAGGCAATTTGGTGGACAAGAAAGAACATAGGGCTGACTTCAAAATCTTTATGGATTTGTGGTCAAAGAACGATTTATCTTTAGTGGGTCCTCAAAGTGCTTGATGCCACACTCAAGTGAAAAAGTTTGCTTTTACTTGTTCCCCTATGTGCTGGAAGAAAGGGATTGGACAAGATCCTGGTTCATAGGCATTGAGAAAAATCTATTCTGTCTGCAGAAGGAATAAGAACATTAGTAAAACTATTAAATGCTCTAATCACCTTTTGAAATCTTTGACATATTATATGTAAATGAGAGGTGTTACTTGCAAGCCTAAAATTTCATAGTTACCTGGTTATACTCATTTAAAGTCCCTTCACTTCAAATGTTGGCTAGCTATTTCGTTGTTAAAATGAAACATGATTTTTAAATCCCATTAGTGCAAACACCCTTTTCACTGAACTTGGCAAGCCCATACCCTGTGCAGACTCAAGAATTCCAACTGTGAAAAGAGCTGAGCCCATGTACCCTCTCCAGTTCCTTTGCTCTAAACCAATCCTTCCTTAGGGTTTAGTCAGAACCATCTGCCTAGGAAACTGAGGTTTGATTTCTATTATTTATAAGACTCACTTGAGACAGTTGAATTTTAGATGACAAACTGCCAGAAGAGGGAAGAGTGGGCGTAAAGAAACAGATGGGTTATAATTGTGTGTCATAGATTAATGACAATTTTTAAAGAATTTGATAGGGTGTGGGCTGGGCCTCGCTTTTTTTTTTTTTTTTTTTTTTTTTTTTTTTTTTTGTGGGGGACAGAGATTAGGGAGGAGAAAAGGAAGAGCCAGGCAAGACAATAGGCCAGACTCCAGCGCCTGATCAGCATCCTAAAGCAGTGTGCCCCTCCCGCCCTTCCCCCCAGCACCAGGTAGGCTGTGGTCGCATTTCAAAACAATCCTACATGGCTCCCTCCTGCCAGCTGGACAGAGGGTGGCCTCCTCCCAGGCTGCAGGAGGAGAGGAGACACCGAAGAGAGGGAAGAAAAGATGGAAGCTCAAGATGAAGTGACTGGCAACACCTCCTTAGGGACAGCGGCCTTTTCTCCCTCCCAAGTGGTGGAGTCACATAAAAATCCAAACCCACCGGGCCGCTCACGTGCCAATCGCCCCAATCCAAACGCAGACAGCTGCAGGCACGGCACCTGCTCGGCGCGCCCCTGCTGCGGAGCGCCAGGCCCCTGGGAAGCCAGGAGCCAGCACTGCTCCCCGGGAGGGCGGCGGCCGGCTGAGCCGTTCAGGAAGGGAGGGGGCGGGAAGGGAGGGAAAAGAGGGACGGGCCGCCAGGCGAGGTGGACCCAGGCTGGAAAACAGCCTCACCCATCAGGCCCGGCTTTACGCTCCATCCACATGTGGGAACCGCTGCTTGCAACCCCGATCTCTAAAGAGCTCAATATTACACCGTCACCAGAAACCTATAGGCGTAAAACATACAACCTCGACCAGGGTTGCATCGCCACAGCGCACCCGAACAGAGGCTCACCTAGCTGCACCAGCCAGCTCCTGCACTGTGGCAAGATGCTTAGGGGTCCCAGATGCTGTTAAACCGAGCTCTACCAAGGCGAGCCCACCGTACCCCTTCCCGAGCGGGTCTTACCGTCTGCACAGCATCGTATGCATCTCCGGTCTGCCACTGTGGGTTGGTCTGTGTTTTTCTGTGGGATTTTTTGGGGATGCGCTTCATAAATCCATGCAGCTACTCTGCAGAGCAGTGTTTTCCACCCATCCTGCAGCCCCTGCTTATCAGAGCAGCAGGGAATCCCACCAGCCCGGCAACTTCTCCGCGCGCGCGTTGGTGCCAATTAAGAGCACCAGAGCTGCCACTCCTTGACAAAAGGCTCTGCTTCCCGCGCGCGTCCCTCACGGCCCTACGGTCAGAATTAAATCCATTTCCCGCAGGAGGCTGGGAGGAAATGAGAGCTCTCGGCTGTGCACGCTGACAAAAGGCCGCCTAGCCGTGCCCACAGCGCCCCCTCCAGCGGGCCTCTGCAGGCCCGACCCAGGCCGCGGTGCTGCAGTGTACCCGCCCGCGCCCGCAGTGCCACCGCCCGCTGCCGCAGACCCCGCGGCTCTGGCTCTGCCCACGTCTACTGTGCTCAGCACCACTCACTGTCCCAGACAGTACAGCGCCCGCAAGAGGACCTTGTTACTGGGAAGAAAATTGAAGCGGCGGCTCCATTAGGGATGTCTCCTCCCTAGATTTAAAAAAAAAAAAAAAAAAGTCTTACCCATGCTTGGAGTTGTTTTTCTGGTTGGTTTGTTGGTTTTCTGGTCGGGCGAGGGGGAGGGAAGCATCCTGCCTTTGGAAGATAACTCTATTAGTGATGTTAATAGCAACTGGTTGACTGAATTCCAAATCAAAATTTCCCTTATTCTGACTCCATTTTCAAGTAGGACAAAATTTTTGTTGGCACCGCCCCTCCTTCCTCCCAGGCTTTGGGTCCAGCTCCAAATCTCACTAGGCATTCTCCTTCACCCCTTCCCCTCCCTACTCTCCCATGCCAGAGGAAACAGGTATGTAGTGAGTGGAGAACTAAATGGGGACCCAGACACTTGGTTGCAGTCTCTAACCTGCCTTTAGCCAGCTCTGTGGCCTTGATGAAGCCACTTACCTCTCAGGGTCTGTTTGTCTTCTACAAGGAAAATTGACACAGTAAGCTATGGCCTGGATGATTTCTCCTTCTGTCTGACTGTGTTTCTGAAGGTTTGGCCCTCAGAGAATAGGGATGGCAAGGGGAAGCTTGGGACTGTACACCCCCACAATTGCCATGCATTCCACAAAGCTCACCTAAATCAACACTTAGTGCTTTATAAAATGTGGTTGGAAAAAAATGTTCAGCTTCCAGAAAAGCCTCTGACCGCTGATCCCAAGCCATGCTACAGCCCCTCTGCTCATTCTAGGTTCTGGAGGCCAAAGCTCTCAAGATTCCTCCACAAAATCACTGCGCCATACCATAATGGAATGCAGAATCTCTGCAGGTGGGCCCAGGAATCAGCATTTTTAACAAGTACTCCCCAGTGATTCTGTTGCAGGATACCATTTAAGAATTGCCACTCTGTGCCAGCTACTGATTTAGAAAAGAGAAAATGTCCATCACAGCAACCTTAAAGCAGTTGTCAAGGATTCCATTCCAGATGCCAGGATAACTTCTTTCTTGGTCCTGCAGCCTCCTTCTCCTCCCCAAGCCTCCCAGAAGCACAGTTCTCAAACCCTCTCCTCGCTGTCCTGTTCGAACCTGAACTACAAGCACAGCCACACAAGGTGAACTCTCATCCCTCTTCCCACCCTGCAGGACAGAAGGTCTGCTGGCCCAGGAACCCTGGAAGTGACATGTTTATTGAGACACTCCTGGTGGCTGTGACACCGTTGGTGTCAATTAGTGATTAGATCTGGGAAGCCAGGAACCCCTTCTCCAGAGAATGGAAATCACAGGTAAAGTGGACTGTATTCCTAGAGAATGCCAAAAGGGAACAAAGAAATTTTATTTAGTCCAAAACAGCAGTTTTCATGAATCCTCCCAAGTCATCTCTATCAAAAAATTAGTTTCGTAGTGTTAATTTTCTCAAACTAACCACAGCAAATTCTTGTTGGCTCCTGGCACTATTCCAAAGGCTTTATATTTATTCTTACTTTAATCTTCAAAAGAACTCTATGAGGGTGGTGGTAATATTATCCTCATTTTACAGATAAAGAAACTAAGGCACAAAGAGGTTAGGTAATTTGTTTGAGGCTGCACCTCTGATAGATGGTAGATGGCTGAGCCAGGATTCAAATTCAAGCACAGGGACTCCAGAGGTTATGGGCCCTAACTACAATGCTGCTTGGCCTCTTAGAAGGGACCAGAGACTTTTAAAAACAGAACTGGTACAAGACACTGGCAAGGTGGATACACTCTCCTTTTCCCAAAGAAGCGATTCTGCTTCTCTACGTAGCACAGGATTTTTTAAAAAAAGAAAATACGTTCTGCTTCTCCCAGACTTGATCTGAATATGAGAGATCTGAGAATAGTGGTGCCATGTATGGCTTGAAAATTGTTCACATGTCAGACAGGAAAGACTTCATTAAGTTCCACATTAATAGCCTCTATCAAAATTTTCATTGAGATTCCAGAAACTCTCTATTCCAGATTCTCTTTGAAAATCTAACAAAAGGAAGCACAAATGTTATTGGCCCCCAGTATCATTGGAAGACCAAGACACTTCAGAGTTCTCATAGCAGCAAGCCTAAGACTCCCAGTCCTTATAGAGGACCAGAAAAGCACAAGAGACCCCAGGTCAGGCTTAGAACACCACAACTGCATAATGTCCTATTGGTTCTGTTTCTTAGGAGAACTTGGACTAATACAGATTTTGGTGCAGAGAGAGGGGTGCCGCTGCAGGAAATATCCAATCAAGTGGAAGTGGCTTTGGAAATGAGCAATGAGGTAGAGGCTGAAAGAGTTCTTAGGTACATGCAAGAAAAAGCATGAAGGTAGAAACATGTCTGTTAAAGTTGATTTCTGGAAAGCATTCAAAAAGGAAAGAGGAGACTTGAAGAAAGAGCTTCCATCTTCCTAAAAAAGTACTTAAATAATCACCAACAGAATACTGATAGAAAATTATTTCAAATAAAAAAATAATGATGCATCTCAGGAACTTAAATAAGCCATAACAAACCAAACCAAGTCCAAAATTAATAGAAGGAAATAAATAACAAAAATCAGAGTAGAAGTAAACAAAATAGAGACCAAAAAAAATTAGTATAAAAGATCAATGAAACCAAGAGTTGGTTCTTTGAAAAGATGAACAAAATTGACAAATTTTTAGCTAGACTAACCAAGCCAGGGGTTTGGGGATGGGGAAGACAGAAGACCCAAATAAATAAAATCAGAGATGAAAAGAGACACAACAACCAACACCACAGAAATACAAAGGATCATTAGGGGTGATTGTGAACCGCATGCTAACAAATTGGAAACCCTAAAAGAAACGACCCCATTTCTGAACACTGAATCTGTATGGACACATATAACTTAGAAAAATGAGCCCTGAGATCATTAGAAAGAAAACCTGAAGAGACTGATAACAAGCAATGACACTGATCAGTAAGAAAAAGTCTCCCAGAAAAGAAAGGCTCAGGACCAGGTGGCTGCACTGCTGAATTTTTCTAAACTGTTAAAGAACAACACACATTGTTCTCCAGCAATTCCATAAATTAAAGGAAAAAGAATTCTTCCAAACTCAATGAGGTTATTATTAACCCTGTCACCAAAATCAGAGGATATGACAAAAAAAGAAAATGACAGACCAATATCCCTGATGCATATAGATGAAGAAATTCAACAAAATACTATCAAATCGAATTTAAAGCATGTTAAAAAGATCATTCACCACCATCAAGTTGGTTCCATCCAAGGAAACACATCATAGGATGCAATGTAATAAAGAATAAAAATAGCATAATCATCTCAACAGGTACAGGAAAAGCATCTGATGAGATTCAATATACATTCATAATAAAGAGCCCTGAACAAAATAGGTACAGAAGGATTATACCTCAACATAATAAAAGGCTGCATATGACAAGCCTACAACCAATATCATGTCGAATAGGAAAAAAGCAGAAAGCATTTCCTCTAAGATCAAGAGCAAGACAAGAGTATTCACCCTCATCGCTCCTATTTAATACACTAAAAGTTTTCACCAGAGTAATTCGACAAGGAAAAGAAATAAAAGGCGCACCAGTAAAAAGGGAGAAAGTAAAATTATCTCTTTGCAAATGGTATGATTCTATACGGAGAAAAACCAAAAGACTATAACTGATAAACAAATTCAGTAAAGTAGCAGGATACCAAAGCAACATGCAAAAATTAGTAATTTTTCTTTACACCAAATAATGAACTTGCTAATAAAGAAATCATGAAAGCAGTCCCATTCACAACAGTGACAAAGCAAAAATAAAATACCCAGGAACAAACTTAAAGAAAGAAAATACCTTTATAAAAAAAATTACAAAACACTGAAGATAGAAATTGAAGACAAAAAAATGAAAAGCTCTCCCACATTCATGGATGGGAAAATATTGTTAAAATATTCATACTACCCAAAATGATCTACAGATCCAATACAATCCCCAATGATTGACATGCTTCATAGAACTAGAAAAAAAATGACATTCTTCATACAACTAGAAAAAAAATGACATTCTTCATAGAACCAGAAAAAAAAAATCCTCAGCTTCATATGGAAGCATGAAAGACCCAGAATAATAGCCAAAGTAACTTGAGCAAAAAGAACCAAGCTGGAAGCACTGCAGCCTACATCAAGACATACTACCAAGCCACAGCACTCACAACAGCATGGTATTGGCATAAAACAGACACAGGAGCCAACAGAACACAATGTAGATCCAAGAAATAAACCTGTCACACATCTGATTCTCAGTATAGGCTTCAAAAACAAACATTGGAAAAAGAACACCTTCTTTAACAAATGGTGCTCGGGAAACTGGATATTCACATGGAGAAGGTTGACATTTGACTGCCCTCACCCTGTACAAAAATCAACTCAAAATGATTAAAGGCCTAACTGTAACAACAAACTAGCCAGGTACCATGGTGCACATCTATAATACAAGCAACTCAGGAGGCTGAGTCAAGAGGATCACAAGTTTTAGAACAGCATCAGCAATTTAGTAAGGCTCTAAGCAACTTGGTGAGATCCCGTCTCAAAATAAAAAATAAAAAGGGCTGGAGGTATAGCTCAGTGGTAGAGAACCCCTAAGTTTAATACCCAGTACTTCCCCCCCTCCAAAAAAAAAAGAAAAAAAAAGAACTGAAATTATTAGAAGAAAACATAGGGGAAACACTTCAAAACATTTGTATAAGCAATAACTTTCTGGGTAGAAGCCTAGAAGCAAGCGACATGGACAAATGGGACTATGTCAAACTGAAACACTTTTGCACAGCAAAGAAAACAATCAATAGGGTAAGGGGACAACCTACAGAATGAGAGAAAATAGTTTTCAACTCTTCCTCTAACAGGGATAATTCCAGGATATATAAAATAATTTTTAAAATCTGATTTTAAAATGGGCAATTGATATGAATTTGTAAAACTTTGTAAAAGAAATGTAAGTGGCAAAAAATATGCAAAAACGTTCAATATCCTTAACCATCAGAGAAATGCAAATCAAAACCACAATGAGCTATCATTTCACCCCAGTTAGAATGGCTATTATTTAAAAAATTAAGAATAAATGCTGATGAGGAGGTGGAGAAAAAGGAACTGTTAAACACTGTTGGTAGAAACATAAATTAGCACAGCCATATGGAGAATATGATGGTTCTCAAAAAACTAAAAGTAGATCTAAAACATGATCCCACTATTCCATCTCTTGGTATACATCCAAAGGAAATGAAATCAACGTACCAAAGTGATACCTAAATGCCCATGTTTATTATGGCTCTATTCACAATAGCTGGAGTCAGCCGTGGTGCCTATCGACAGACAGATAATGTGGTAAATGTACACAGTGGAGTATTATTCAGCCACAAAGAATGAAATACTGTCATTTGCAGCAAAATATATGGAACCAGAGAACATTATGCTAAGTGAAATAAACCAGAAACAAGTAAATAAATAACATTTTATTTCATATATGTTTAAAAAGTCAACCTGAAAGTAGACAGTAATTACAAGGGATTGGGGAGGGTACTAGGGGAGGGGAAAGGTGGTTAGCTTTAATCAGTGCACACTGAACTCCATTAATATGTACAATTAATACATGTTAACAAAAAATTTAAAGACTATTCTAATTAAAGCTCAGGTGGGAATGAGGAATGGTTTACTAGAAACTGAAAGATGACCCTTTTTATAAAGTGACAAATTGCATCCTAGTGTTTTGCAGAAGGTAGAACCTACAAGTAATAGAACTGGACACGTAGCAGAGGAGCTTTCTAAGCAAAGTATAGAACGTACTGCTTATAACAAAATGTGAGAGAAGAAAAATGAATTAAAGAATTAAAAGCAAAAAGGACCAGAACTTGGAGAATTAGAAATTCTCAACCTATCCATTTAAAAAATATATATATATGACAGCAGAATGCATTTCAATTCATTGTACACAACTGGAGCACAACTTTTCATTTCTCTGGTTGTACACGACGTGGTCGCACCACATGTGCAGTCATACATGTACCTAGGGTCATGATGTCCATCTCATTCCATCTTTCCTGCCCACATGGCCCCTCCTCTCGCCCAGTCAGAAAGTTCCTCTATTCTTCCCATGCCCCCGGCATTATGAATCAGCACCCACTTATCAGAACATTCAGCCTTTGTCAACCTATCCATTTTGAAGAGGGAGGGAGATAGAAGGGGAAGAGAGAAGAGGAGGAGGAGAGAGAGAGTTTATTATAAAGCAATGATGCTACTGAGCAGCCGTCTATAAAGAAACCATGAGGGTAACTCATGGACTTAATCAGCCATCTCTACAAAAGAAATGGAGGGGGGATTACACCAGCAAAGACACTACCAGTGAGAACTAGAGGGGACAGAGAAGGTGGGTGGAGTGAAGGAAGGCTGCTGACCTCCTCAGAGTCCACAGGACTGGATCACATCTAACATGCACTGTTCAAGGAAAGGGAAGAATAACCCCACTTACAATTCAGAGAACCAGGGCAGCAACTTACACAAGTCTGGGGACAGGGCTGGTTCTGCCTGCTTTAGAGGGATGACACTTCCCCACCCCCCAGTGAGACTAAAAGGCAAGACATCAAACCAAAGAGGATTGTCCTTGAGACTTAAGGTAAAATGACATTTGCCTTGCTAGGTGGTGAACTCACTTGAGATACATCAATCCTTCTACTTCTCCCTTTTGGAATGAGAATGCCTATCTGTGACGGTCCCACCACTATATTTTGGAAGCAGCTAACTTGACTGGTTTTACAGGTTCACAGCTGGAGAAGAATTTTGTCATGGAACAGGACTCATACCTCACATCTCATAACTGATTTAGATGATATTTAAATGAGATTCTGGAATTAAGCCATTAGAAGTGATGCTGGAATAAGACAAGACTTTGGGCTGTTGGGGGGGGGGGGAATGAATGGATTTTATAAGCAACAAGGACATGAATTTCGGGGGCAGGAGGCCAGTAGCAGAGTCCTCCGGACAGAATCATGTTCCTGCAAAACTCATACATTGAGACCCTTATCCCCCATGCAGTAGGGGGATAAGGGTCTCAATGTGAGGCCTGGGTTTGATCCCCAGTCCAGCCACTATCATCCCATTGCAGTAGTGGCCTTATAAAGGATGAAGAGGGACCAGAGCTACTTAACTCTCTGCCATGGGAAGACACAGGGAGAAGGCAGATATTCTTAAGCTAGGAAGGAAGCCCTCTCATCAGAAACTGAACTCTACCAGACCTTGATATTGGATTTCTCAGCTTCTGAAACTGAGAAATAAATTTCTGTTAAACCGCCTAGCCTAAGGCATTTGTTAGGGCAGCCTGTGCCAACAACCTTTCTGTGCCTCAGTTTCCCCATTTGAGAAAGGGGGATACTCATGCCTATCTCTTAGGACTGCTGTAAGAACAAGTTAACCCATACAAAACGTATAGAGCAGACACCGGCATAGATGAAGCATCAGGTCTTTGTGAGCAACTATTCTGAAGATGGAGGCTCAAGGAGCTTGGGTGACTAACTCCCACAAAGGTGCCACTTGTCCTGAGCTGGGCATTTAGAAAATGTCCACTCCTACAGGCCAGTGTTCAGGATTCCACACTCCTCTATCATAAGCTTGCATTCCAATTAAAGGTTAATTTCCCTGGGAAAGGTAACGGCCACTTATCCCTCAAATTGATGAAAAACACAAGGCAAGACATCAGGTGTGGGTCCTGAGAGGGTGAGGGTGAAAGCTCATGAGGGGCTGGGAGCAAAGGCTGATGGTCCTCCAATCTACTTCTTCAAAGCTTGAAGTAGAAAGTGGAGTCGAGCGAGTCTGTGGGAGACAAGGCCATTTAAAGGGTGACTGTTAAACTCAGAATTATGGCAAATTTCTTTAAAAAAAAAAAGACTCCAAAATGTTCAAGACTGAATTTATTTTTCTCTAGAAGGTAACCCTGGGCTTTTTCACTTTTCATACTTGTGGAGTCTGAAACAGAGAAGAAAGTCCATTATAAATAGCTAAAGGAAAAGAACAGATCGCTCACAAAAGAAAAATAAAGAAATATTGGGGCTAGGGGCATAGAACACAGTATGAGTGAGGCCTGGGTTTGATCCCCAGTCCAAAATTTCATTTCAATTCATTTCATTAGTAATCAAAGATGTCAAAGACAGCTGGGTACAGTGGTGCACACCTGCAATCCCAGTGGCTTGAGAGGCTGAGACAGGAGGATCACAAGTTCAAAGGCAACCTCAGCAACTGCAAGGTGCTAAGCAACTCAGTGAGAACCTGTCTCTTAAATAAAATACAAAATATGGCTAGGGATGTGGCTCAATGGCCAAGTGCCCCCGAGTTCAATCCCCAGAACCTCCCATCCCCTGAAAAACAAAAAAAGATATTTAAAGACATCAGGGTTTTTTTTTTTTTCCATTTTTAGATGTCTCATTGTTGGCAAGAATGTGGTCAAACTGGCACTGTGCATTGCTAGTGGCATTACAAATAAGCAAGTCATAGAACATACCTACCTGTCACTCAGGAACTCTTCTGCTTCTGGGAACCTATCCTGAAAAAAACAATACAAAATACAGAAAGGGCTAAACACAACAGGCACTCTCCTACATTTATAAAAACAAAAAGTTGAAAACAACTTAGGTGTCCAAAAATTTGAAAATTGTCCCCATTAATGGTCACCTAAACATGCTCATGAGGAGAAAAAAAAAAAGTCACTCAATTGTTATGTGCCGTGTGCTAATTTCTTAATTCAGTAGCATAAGGGAAAAAATTGGAAGCATTTTAGTAGATTTCCAGCAGACATTTTACTAAAGTGGTACAATCATTGTCTCTTCTCCGTTTCCTGAAATCTCAAAGGAAGAATAAACCCACGACTGAAAAAAAACAGAGGCTTGACTCATCTCTAGGCAACTCAGACATTAGAACTCATTAAGTGTATAATTGTGGATGATAAAATGCTATTGCCAGAAGCTTTAATTTAGTTTTAAAGTTGTATGTATTTTCTGGTCTGCTCTCCTTTACATTTCAAGGTTGAGGGGTTTTCTTTTTTAGAATAAGAATGGTTAAAAAGAATTTGATACTATGGCCCACACCCCTCAAACACACTTCACTGACTGGCTAGATATTGAGCAAGTTATTTTTGTTCTTTAGCTTCCTCAGATGCAAAGTGGAGAGAACTGTTTGTACCAAACAAGGTAGTTACAAAAATTCAATAGGTTACTATGTAGAAAGGGCCAGGAACAGTGTCTGGCACAAAATAAGTATGAAGAGCTGTTTTTCTGATTTTTTAAAAAATATTTTTTGTTTCAGTTGTAGATGGACACAATACTTTTTATTTTTATGTGATGGTGAGGATCGAACCCAGTGCCTCACAGGTGCAAGACAAGTGCTCTACCACTGAGCTACAACCCCAGCCCTATTTTTCTGTTCTTGATTCATTCAGTCTTTAAGATTTTTTTTCTGTTAGATTTAGCTTTAGAAGACTTTTTAAAATTAACTTTTTACATATACAGAATGTAAATTAAATCTAAGAAACAACTTCATGTATTGTTATGTTTACCTAAAAAGTTAAAAGAGTAATTGAATTCTATCAGCCTGGGGTCTAGTGTGTTTTAGATAAATTGTTTGTTTTTAAGAGTTAGCTGGAAAATTCCAGAAATCTAATATTTAAGAACCCAAATAGGAAAACTTGCTTATCAATGTTGTCTTTGATGTCACAGATCAAAAAAAAAAAAAATGACAGCTGGACCTCATCTAAGTCAAAGCAGGTAGTCTGAGGAATAGAAACTCAGCCCGTTGATTAACATCTTTCAGAACAGGGGTGCCCTGCCAGTGTGAGCTGTGCGGCTGGATAATCTGAGGTACTATCCAATCATTTTTCATTCATCCAATGAGCCAATGCTTGGTAGGGGAAGGTGGGGCGAATAGAAGTCCTTGCTTACTTAGTTTTAGGGTTCAGTCCCCAGCCTCACAATAGTTTGAAAAGCAACTTTCATTTGAAAGAGAATATATAGATTGTGGTGGGCCAGAGCTTAGATGGCTATTCATCAGGTAGCCGTAGAACAGGAAGAAGGCAAGATGTGATGTGGGAAAACCTTCCTACAACCAAACATGGAGGCAGAAGTGGAAATGGCAGGAAGTAGTTGTTGTGAGGGGATGGAAGCAGTGTGAAGAAGCTCCCTGATCCCCGAGGACGGCCCTGCACTATGCTGTCTTGGGCCTTGACCCAAGATGGGGAAGAGTTCCATAAGACAACAGAACCCAAGAAACAGACAGTAGAGTCTGAGGGAAACAGGGATTCACCTCTGCTCCCCAAAAGGAGCCTCTCAGAAGAGGTAAGTGCCACAGAGCTGAGTGGCATCTCCAGGTACATGGATCCCCAGGCAGCCTTATAATCCCAACTAGAAGTCGGGGAAGCCATGGAAACCAGAAGCCCTGGTTTCTGAATGGAACTGTCCCAGCAAGTCTGGCCCAGAGAGGAGAAGGCACCGTGGGGTCACAGAATTTACAGGGGATGTCAGCTCAGCACCATCCAAGACCAGCGAAGCCCAAGGACAAGCAGAGTCCCTGCCAGCCTCCACAGTGCTCACTCCACACTGTACTCAGAGACAGAGGAGAGGTGGGAGAGATGGCCCAAGAAGCAAAAAGCCCCAGAGGGATTCTGAACATTGAATGAACATAAATATTGAACATTCAATACTTATTCAAAAAAGATGGACCTTAACGGGGCAAGATATGGAATTTCCCCATAATCTGCATTATAAGGACTGAGACCTCAGGAACAAGTGGAATACAGTATGGAAGGTAATATTACATTTCCTCACATCTAGGTCATGCCTATATTTGGCAATCTGCTTCAGTTGTCCATCTGGACCTAGAGACCAGAACACAGCAATGTAGTCCCAGCCTGGCCTTCTCGTATCCAGGGAGACAGCTATGTAACTCTTCCAGCAAATGAAGCTCCTATCATGAATGGAGTGTTGGCCACCAAACCCAATGCAGTCCCAGTCTCTTCACTGGGGGTCTCCTGTTCCTCAGCACAGAATACATGGGACTGTCCCTGGTTCCTCATCTCAGACCACCCCAATGAGGCAGGTGCCTCAGACACATCTTTCACACCAGAGTAGCTGGAAGAACATATATAGGGAGGGAATTTCCAAAGAGGAAGAGTGATCTAAAGGGAACAAGAAGGGTCCCTAAAATAATGGTGTAGTATTTATAATCCCTTTACCCTCCCCATTAGGAGATCTACCATTAACACCATGTCCTTGGAATTCCACTTTATCCCTTATCTGTCTGGATAACACAGGAATAAGGAAAGGATATCAAAGGTGGTAAGACACACTGATCTTCCTCAGGGGCTAGGGCTAACTTGTGTTGTCCTAGAATTTGGTGATTCTCTACTAACCCAAACAGCCATCTGTCTCAAGGAAAATGAGCAGCATATCCAAAAAGTCTGACCTCTCCTCCGAGACACCCTTCCATTCAATTCTGCCATTCTTTATGTTCACCTGGGGCCAATGAGATGGGCATATTACAAGGCTCTTTATAAAGTCTCATAAATACGCCTTCTGGAAGTCTAATGGAATAGACAAAGACTGACTGAAATTAATTTCACCACAAGGCCCATTATATGTAGAAAAGGATGGAATTATTGGCTCTCTAGAATAATGGTCCACTTTCTGACAGGATTAGGTGACATACCAGGTAGAGTTCTTGTCATAAAAAACACCAAATTTCACACACATCCACACATACACTCAAAGCATGTAAACCTGCATTCATAATCAATTCAGTCTTCTTTACCCAGAGAAAAATTAAAAGAAATCTCCCTTTCTTATTTTCACAAAGAAATAGAAATTTGTCTTCCCTCTAACATTTTATCTTGATGGGATTTAGCCTTAAGGGTCTCCTCTTGGGCATCTGGTTGTATTATTCCTCAATAGCTGCAACCTGGGAATCCTCCACTGGATGTATCATCATTGCCAACACAGATCCATCCTGCCCTGCCTGCCCCAGATGGCTCACCTTTCCAGAGTCCCAGACAACCTACAGCATAGGTAGGATCAAAGCATCAACTCCTAGACCCACAAACTTTAGAAAACACAGAAAATCCCAGAGCTGAATGCAGTTACTGGAGCAGCCTACCCCAAGCCCCATGTCTTAAGTCCAGAGCAGCACTGTCAATCACCTGAACAGGCAAGATGCTAGTACCGTGCAAAGAGGAGTGGTGGGGACTCTGGCAAACCAGAGAGCACCTGCCCCGTCCAAAGGGAGAGTCAGCATTCCAAAATATCCTGCTGGCTACATTCATCAGAACATGCCCCATCAGTCACCAGTGAACACCCAGGCAGACAATGTGCTTCCTTTGCAAAAACCTAGACACGCTGTGCTCTGCGGTAGACTTCTTACTACTGTAGGCCTCCGCCTGGGGAAACGCAAGGTGCAAGATAGAAGAAGCTTCCAGGCTTTCCACAAGTGTTCATCTGTTCCCCTCATTTCAGAGGTTAAAATGTCATTGGAAGAAGTGTCCCCAAGGAGTAATTTCACAGATGACCACAACCTGGAGAGGGGGCAGTGGGAATCTACCACCCACTCAGCTTCCTTCTCTCAGACTCTCTTTCAAGGAACTTTCTCACAGCATGCCAAAATTCAGAAATCTATGTTGGCAGCAATTCTAGGCCCCTGGGACAGACATTTGTGTTCAGCCACATGTCTCTTTCCAAAGCCCCTTAAACCTTGGCATTCTTGGCATCTCACTCCAAAACTGAAGGATTTTTTTTTCTTTTTTTGTTTTTTTTTTTGTTTGTTTTTCAGAGATGTAATCTCTACAGAATCACAAGCAACTCTGAATACAGTTCAGAGCCATATACATTGTCAAATGCCCAAGCCACCATCACAAGTGACAAGTAGAAAGAATAAACATGGCAAGACAGCCAACACTTTGCTACCCAGCAACGTCCATCCCCAACTTGGCAAATACCCACACCTGGAAACTTCATTTTTAAACAATCCTCTTGCAGACCTTGAAACCAATCCTTATCCCTACCAGGCCCCGCTTTGGAACCCCTCATGGCTCCCAACTTCTCCGCCTACATGGATACTTGCTGCTTCAGTTCCCAGGCAAACCTGCTCTGGCCCCAGAAGTTAATCTCCATCCCTGCCATCAGCAGATTCTTATGTACTTCATTCAGGATTCTGCCTCCCAGGAATGTTGTTGACCTTGCATAGCCCTTTCTGACCCTGTCTCCAAATCCCCTACAGTGCCCATCCCTGCCAGCACCAGGAATTCCACTCCTGACCCCGAGGGCAGGAAGAAGGGTGCCTTTCCTGCACACTGAAGCTAGAAAGGGCCTGCCTCCTAAATCCTAAGCCCCTCCACATATAAGTGATTCAGTTCAATGAGCTACATCAGCTGTCACTAAGTCTCTAGTCAGGGTATCTGGCCAGGATTCTGAAACCCTGTATAGTCACCCCTTTGGGTAACATGGCTGAACCCTTACAAGGATCCTTTTGTCAAATAAAGGCTAGCCTGAGCATAGCGTCCTTGACCTCATCCTAGTTTCTGATTGTAAAGCACAAGTTTATATAAAGTCAGTAAAAAACTGCTCAACTCACATGCAAATAACAATCTCAGAGTTATGTATTAAAAGGGAAAATAATGTAGAAAAATGCTCACCTCAAAGGAAACAATTTCCCCCTTTTCCTGCCTGAACAATTCAGTCCTAATGCCAATAGTTGAGACAGGGTTAGGTAGGAAAAGCCATGATGACCCCAAGCAAGGTTTTGGGGCCCAAGCGGGTAAATTGGCATTAATACCAGAGGAAGCACCCATGCCTTTGGTAAGCATGGCCCAGGTGGAACATGAGAGCCAAAGAGAGGTCCCTTGTGAAGTCTGATAAATCCTAAGAAAGATTGAAGAGACCAGCCATACAGGGAGGAGATGGCAGCAGATGGGTTACACACAGGCATGTCCTTGGATAAATGGAGTCATCATTCCAGGCTGGGGGTGGGACAACATGAGCTCAAAACATCTTCTGCAAGAAAAGAAGCCACCAAAGAAAATACTGATAAAACAAACAGAAAGGGGCTTTCACTGGCCACAATAAGGACAATTTGAGCAAAAAATAATGACATAAGCTACTGAATTTAACAGAAAACTATGCACCCGTGCTAACATAAAAAGTAAATTAAAATAGTAAATTAAAAACAAAATGCACATGTGTACATCCATGTGATGCATGGACTATACTCAGGAATGAAAAGGAAACACAAACTACTGATACAACAACAACCTGAATGATGTCAAGAGCATTGTCCCTTTCAAAAAAATTTAAAAACAAAGTCTCTAAAGATAGAATATGGTATAATTCAAAACATTCTTGAAATAACTTATAGAGATGGAAAACATTGGTGGTTGTCAGGGATTCAGAAGCACAGAGAGTCAGGCAGCGGGTGTGACTACAAAGCAGTAACACAAAAAAGATCTTCATGGTGATAAACAGTTCTGTATTGCGATTGTGCTGGTAGATGCACAAATCTACATGTGATAAAATGACACAGAACTATGTACCCTCTGGTTTTGATATGCTATAGTTAATATAAGATGCAGTCATTGGGAATAACTGGGTTAAAAGTGCATGACACTTCTCTGGACTACCTTTGCAACTTACTGTGAATCTATAATTACTTCAAAGTTAAAAGTTTAATAATATAGGATGTTTGATGAATAATGGGACAGTTAGGAAATCTCAAAGCAGCTCCTCAGAATATACATATTAATTATGAAAGAAAAAGACTGACTTTCAAGTGGAGGAGCCTGACAGTCACCACTTCAAGCAAGTGATCAAAAGGAATGTCACTAGAAATAGAATAGACATATGCCCCAATAGGATGCAATGAATAGAAACAGCACGACTTGTGAGATTCCTGGCACAGATACATGTCTTAATCTAATCAGGAGAAAACAGATAGTGCCTATCAAACATACCATAAAACTGGCCCATAATCTTTCAAAAGCATCGAGATCATAAAAGTCACAGAAAGGTCATGACCAAAGGAAGCTAAAGAGACAACTAAACACAATTTATGATTCTCCTCTGGGTCTTTTTTCTTAGAAGAGGCATTATCTAGGATATAAGTGAAACATGAATGGAGCCTGAGGTTTACACAGCAAGCGTGCAAAGGCATTGGCTGCCCGATTTGGGGTGGTTGTGTTAGGAGAATGTCCCATGTGTAGGAAATGCACACTGAAGTAATCAGGTGTGAGAGACCCTCAAAATGTGTGAGGAAAAATGTTCTTTGTGCTACACTTGTAACCCTTCTGTAAAATGATTATTATTTCCTTTTTTATTAGCACTGGAGAGTGAACCATCCCTGGAACTGGCCTACTGAGCTACTGGGTTACAGATGTGCGCCACCACGCCCTGGCTCCGAATTTTTTTCAGTTTTCAAAATGAATGATTTGAATGTCAAAGGATGAGACATTCTTGACCAAACTGATCAAATCCTAGAATGCTCCCACAAAAATGGCACACTTTACAAACAGGACTTGAAAGTGACCTTGGCAGAAGTTATATATCCAGTATATAAAGATGTCAAATACACGATTCATTCTTTGTTCAGCCTAAGAATTAGCAGCACACTCTTCTAATTAACAAACTCATCTGGCTAAAGACTAAAAATTATCTCCTTCCTTTTTGGAAGCAAACTTCCGTGAGAACTGGTTAATGAACACAAGTTCATTATGTGATGAACTATAAGCAGCTATCCCAGGATCTATTACTCTTGGAAATCAAAGATTGCACATATATTTATGGTCTGTTCTGCTACCATGGAAGCTTCTGCCCCAGTCTGGCCAAAAGGGATTGGCAAGAAGATGATAGAGAATGACATGAGGATACCTACCAAATAAGGAACAATGAGAATTAAATACAAGTCAGATCCCACCAGAGCTACAAACATTTGCCACAAAGGAGCTGGGATGCCAGTAGCTTATTATTGCTCACCAATCAATCTTGATTACTTGTGGAAAGTCAAGCAAATGTGGTATCTGTCCAGGTGAACCCATACCAGAGACACGCTGAACACTTTACTGACATGATGTCATTTGAACCTCACTTATTTTACGTGCAAGGTAGGTACAAGCATTACTTTCATTCTACAGATGGGAAAACAGGATCACAGAGAAAAGTTCAGTAGCTCAGGCAAGGTCACACAGCCAGCAGATGGCAAACACAGGGTCTGAACCTCAGCAGTCTGCCTCCAAAGCCTACATTCAACTGTTATTCTAACCTTCTCCCAACCACCATCATTGGTGACTCTGTCCCTTATATTACAGAGACAACATGCTTGTGACAGTTCATTGGTTTCAGTTTCCTACAAGCCTCTCTCATTTTGACAGCATTAGTTACAGAGAAAAGGATGGAGCAAGAGGCAAAAGTCCTCCTTCTGAATTTGGAGAAGCATGTAGCCACCTTCAGCTACTACTTTAGTTTGACAAAGTAACAAGAGCAATAACTGTGAATGGTTTTGCTATTACTTAAAACATGTTCCCCTACAACCAGACTCCCGACCTCAAAATAGCACTGCCATGTATCTTCACATATGGCAAGCTCCTTGTTCTGGAGAACACACAGTCCAGAAAGCCTTCTGCTGAATTAAATATGGCCATTTTTAAAAAACTAAGCTTAGGGAGCTGGAGTTGTTGCTCAGTGATAGAACGCTTGCCTCATATGTGTGAAGCACTGGGTTCGATTCTCAGCACCACATATAAACAAATGAATAAAATAGGGTCCGTCAATATCTAAAAAAAAAATATGTAAAAAAACAGATAAATAAAATAAGCTTAGGTTTGTATTGAGTGGTTCTGGAGGAATTTTCCCTTCCTTGAGCTGACAACCAATTAATTTAGGGACATCATAATCTTCCAGGCTAGGAAGCCCCTCCTCCCCACCCAGATGTTCTCATAAAATCTTGTTTTAATCAGTTTGAGCATAGAAAATGCCACACACTTCCAGGTATACATTTGGAGGTTTTTGACTTCCATATAGCCATTTAAGAAGGAATACTGTACCAGACTCCTGGCCGGTGAAGTAATTTCTGGTGGCCAGCGTCAGACCCGGGCAACAAGTGTATGCTGGCTGACCACTGCCACCATCTGCCCAGGGCCCTTCCTCTTCACTCTTCAAGCCAACGGCACAGCTGGTATGTCGGATAACGTTTCTTGATAGCTCTCTAGCCAAGGAAACATGTGATTCACAAGTATTGTTGCTATAGTTCTGCTCCTCTGGCTCTTGTTTCTAGAAACCAAATTAATTGTCAAACAGTATAATATGACATTTCAGACTTTTCTTGGTTGTACTTTTGTGTATTTTGCTGTTGTTGTTTGTTTGTTGTTGTTGTTGGTTGGGGGGGTTTGGTTTTCTAATGCTGGGCATTGAATTGAGGGCCTCACACATGCTAAGCAAGCATTTTGTCAAGTGAGCTACATCCCTGAGCTATATGAAATATATCAACTGGGCTATATTGGCTACATAAAATATATTTCAAACTTTTTACATAAGGGCAATGCTTCAGTTATTATGGAGAGAAAGTATTGCTCAGTAGCCTTTATTTTCTCCCTCTGTAAACTCAAAAATGTTGTGCATTTAAAATATTGTGGCATGGAATAAATCCTATATTTTATAATGACTGCACAGAACAAAGCACTTGTTACACAATTAGTCACCTGCACATATTTGAACCCTATGACCATGCCATCTAATTTGGCCAATAGGACAATCCATTCCTGCCACTGCAAAATATAGCTTCCAAGCAGTCACCTGAATAGGACTAGTGGACAAAAAGTTCTAGAATGTTCTAGGTTCTAGAATGTTCGTTTCTCTTCTCTCTAGTATCTCTCCTCTTCTGTCCTTAAACACCATCACACTGCTACTTAGAAAATGCCTTCACTTGACCTGATAGTTTTCTTCTTACCATTCTTTTGATCTTTATTTCCTTTCTCATACTGTCAAGGTGAATGGACCTGAAGCTTGCCACTTCCCTGTTTGAACCCCAGATATTCACCGATAATGCCTACCTGACTTCCCATGAGTTGACTCCCAGCCCACTCCTCTTCCATCTCTCAGATGCTAAACCTAGTTGCTGTTCCTCCTTTGCCTTCCTTGGTCTCAGCAGCATCCTGATTTTCCACCTTTGGTTTTCTATCATTCTCTCTTTCTCAACTTGATGATCCCATCTTGTTCCTGGACCTTCCTGTCACTTACCTAATGACCTCCTCCTGCTAATGGTGTCACTTGGAGCTCATCTCAAAGGCCTTCTCTCTCTTCATATCTCCCCTGATCATGGATCCATTTTCAGGCCTTCACTGTTTGCCTCTCTATGAAACCCATGAACAAGCCTACACCTCCCACTGCCTATGGACATTTCTAAGCTAAGCCACTCTGATAATGGAAGCAACACTACAGTGCTTTACAGGTTACAAAGCAGGTTCATTTAGATCATCTCATTGAATAACTGCAAAACCCCTTCTGGATCTCTGTTGATGAGTGTTCTGCTGATAGGAAACTGCCACCCGCAAGTGCTTTCATGGAAGCCTCCTCCCAAGTTCCAGCTGTTGAGGTCCTATTAAAGATTTGGCAACTAGCATCTAAGTGCCTTGGACAGTAACAGAAGGGAAGTAGATAGATGGCCAGAGACTTGACTGCAAAGCTCATCCAGATCTGGGTTCAAATCCCAGTCTTTATACTACTTCACATGAATTTTGATTTCCTCCTTTGTCAAATATCACAAGTAGCTCTGAGGATTATTTTAAAGATTAACTGGAGGGGCTGGGGTTGTGGCTCAATGGCAGAGTGCTCACCTAGAACATATGAGGCACTGGTTTGATCCTCGGCACCACATAAAAATAAAGTAAAGGTACTGTGTCTGTCTACAATTAAAAAAAAATTTTTTTTAAAGACTAAAACTGAAAGTATACATAAATTACTTGGTGCAGTGCCTGGCATACAGAAAGAGCTCAATAAATGGTGACTATCAATGTTCTAAATTTTTAAACCTTTACCTCTAAGTCTTTGGATCCTTCCAAAACATCACTGAGAACTTGTATGTATTCAGATGCACCTTTAAGGATATCAACTTTGCTAGGCTTCCTGCTTTGGGGAAGAAATGGCACAAGTGCCTTCAGTTTGGCAAAACCACGGTTGAGATTTTTTATCTAGAAGACAAAAAGGTACAGACAGTGCTGGGTATTGAATTGAGGGCCTCACACATGCTAAGACAACAGAGGCACGAACTTATGCAGACATCCCCCAAACCACAGGAGAGAGCTGTGAGGTCTCGTTTCCACCACCCTCTCATCTGGGAGGCGGATCAAGGCAGGCATCCCACAAAGGGTCACATCTCTGTCTGCTCTGAACTTAACAGCCAGATGACAGGGTTAGTGGAATGGACTCAGTTCTGCAGGCAGATGGGCTGGAAGGTGTGTTGTTCACACTGACCTTGCTTCACTTCCTTTGAGAATGCACCTACTTCATTATAACAGAAACAATAAAAGTAGGGGCTGAACTCTCTGCAGCAACTACGCTAGGATTTAAAACCCAGCTCCATCCTTGGCCTTTTGGAGTAAGTAGATACTTCATATCACTAAGACTCAGTCTGTTCATCTGCAAAGTAGAAAGTACCTACTATATATCTTTTTGGTTGACTAAGAAACATGATGTACCAAAAAAAAAAAAAAAAAAAAAAAAAAAAAAAAAAAGCCCTCCTCATCCAGATCTCATACCTAGTCTTCAATAAGCACTACTGTACATACATCTTTCTTACTGTACATACATACACCCGCTCAACTTGTCAACCTCTTTCCCTGTGAGTGTGAAAGGCCAAGTGTGAAAGACCATATGTTGCTCACACTTCAAAGACTCCTCATTTTTACTTCCCCTATTCTCAAGGTCTACCTCAGCTCTGAAGGCCTGGAACATTGATGTTTCTCTGTCTAGAGGACATGGGCTCTGGGAGAGCTGCCCCTACAACTCCACAAAACCAATATATTGAGAGTTGTCCCAACCTGAAGTGAAACAGATGAGAGACCAGGCTAATTGACAGGAGAATCCAATGACCAGCAAATGTATAAAAAGATTTAAGGTCAATAAATTATAAATATCATTTTTCATGTACCAAGCTTGTAACATTTGTTTTGTTAATTGGATCAGGAATACCATGAAAAAGAAAGCATTCCTGTACTCTGTATCAGGGATAAAAATATATATATATATATATAAATCTTTCTACAAAGCAAGTGGGAAACTTGTATCAAAAGTCATGAGATCGGATATGCCCTGTGTCCCAGTAATTCCACTTCTAGCATTTTTATTCCAAGACCAATTATCAGATACACACAGACTTATGTACCAGTAAAAAAGTTACAAACAACATACATGCCTATCCGTGGGAGATGGAATAGGTTATGGTCCATTCCTTTGACTGTAAAGTCAAAAACTGTTGCATGAAAGAACACTTAAGAAAACGAGGAAATGCATTTAGTAATGTTAGGTGAAAAGATCTACAATGATAAGATATTGAATGACCACAATTTTGTAAAATTATGTACATGACAAACAACCAGGAAAAATGAATGACTGAGGGGACATAGGCAAAGATGTTCTGTGGTTATCTGTCATTATCCCTCTTCAGTCATTTCTGTACTCCCCGGGCATATTGATTTTATCATTATAAAGAACAATAAAGGTAATTAGCTTTCAAGTGGATAAAATGTGGCCCAGTTCTCTACAGAGGCAACTCCTTCTAGGTGGGAAAGGCTCACTTAAAATGTTGAATTATAATCTCATTTTAGGGCCATCAAATCAGATCCAGAGGATAATTTGTATAAAATATCTTGTCTCTGGTTAAAAAAAAAAAAAATCAAACTTACCCTTTTTTGCAACTTCCCCAACTTCCCTAAGTCTTCTGCCCTGACTTGCTCCTTCCTCCTCATACAAAGCTTTCTAGTAGGCTAATTTCTACAGGACCTGGCTGGAGGGTTTAGGGCCTGCCCTCAACAGAACTTATCCTCCAAGCCCTAGGCCTAAATGAGCGCTTCTCTGGCCCTTCTATCCCTCGTCCTTCCCTGCTCTAGTTCACCTCCATGGCAACCAAGCCCAAAGATTACAAAGGGCAGAACAGAGAGAGAGACCAGACCTGACCATTTGGGGCCAAGTTTGGTCAGAGATACCCAAAAATACCAGCAGATGACGCTCCAACCACGGCCCACAGGATTAACCGCGTCCCCACCCTGACTAGGAAAGTCGCTTTTTTCATTCTGCGGGGTTGAGAAGGAATTGGAGCTCATACTGGGGCATTGTGTTTCGTTACTTAAAAAAATTAACAACAACAACTTCCATTAAGCCCCCTTCTCCCCCTCACCCTGCATTTGCTCGAGGCTAAGAGGCCGAAGTTAAAGAAACAAGTAGGGGGTCCCCTTTGTGCCCAAGCACGCCACAGCTTGAGACTGAAGTTCAACTCCAGCGCCCTGAACTTTTTAAAAGCACCTGCCAAGGGGAAAGAGTTTTGAAGTTGTCAGGGTCCCCCTCTACCCTTCTCCTGGACCTTCCTGCGCAAGTCCAGGAGAGTCAGCAGATGGGGCGGCAATCCCAGCGGCCAGGAACGAAGCGGCCGGACGCAGGTGCCCAGTAACAAGGCCACTTATTCTCCCAACAAGCTAAGGACCCACGTCGGGCCTCCCGAGGTCCAAGTCGCCTCGCGGCCTGCGTTTGGACGGCAAAGGGGCGCACCGGGGCGCACTGCAGATGTTTGGTGGTGGGTACCTCTGCGGGAAGTCAGCGCCCTCCCAGGACACGGTCGCGTGGTGACCGCGCCCAGGGGCCCTGGGGAACCCCTCACCCGCTCGCGCTCCTTGGCGTTGGCCACGCGCCGCCGCTCCAGCACCAACTGGAGGTCCTCCGTCGACGAATAGCCGCCCGAGCGCAGCCGCTTCAGCCGGCAGATGGCGGCCAGCTGGGGCAGCGGCCCGAACTGTTCCCGCAGCACGTCTTCCAGCACCTCGGCCTGAGGTGCGTCCAGAAGGACAGGCGACAGGGGACCCGACTCAGGGGATGAGGGTGCAGCGTCCATGACGGCGCGCGCGGGGTCAGCGGGCGTCCGGCTTTCACCTGCCCTGCTGTACCTGAGGCCGCACGAGGCCCCCGGGCGGGGGCGGAATCCAGACCACCTGTGCGCTTTCCGGACCGCAGAACCGCAAGCCTGCTGCCCTCGCCCGAGACGAGCCAGCAACCCCCCAGTTAACAAGCCCCACCGGTCGGTGATTATCCTGAGCGCTGGATTACAGCCTGGGGTCTCAAATTTGCAGGCACTGCATGGTGCAGTTGAGGGAAGAGGTGGTAAATTCACAGGTGAGCTACCAATCCCCCCAATTAATATTTAATTAGTCTGAGTTGAGACCTTGGCTCCTGGATGTACCTATGCACGTGTGTACTTATGTACACACGTTATATACATTTACACAGAAATTTTGATGGATGCACACACTATTTTAAAAACTCATTTTGAAATAAAGCTGCAGAAATGGTCTCGAAAAGAGGAACAAAGAACTCCTGTATTCCCTTCACTCTTTTTTTTTTTTTTCACGTGTCCCAACTCATTTCTTTTTAGGACTATTCCCATTTTTATTATTTTTTCCCAAACTATTTGAATGTTTGTTGTTTTGAGACACTGTCGCACTATGCTACCCTGGCTGGTGGACCTGACCTCTTGGGCTCAAGCCACACTCCTGCCTCAGCCTAAGATTTGCTAGGACTACAGGTTGTTTTTCTAAAGTAGTTAAGTTGCAGGCGCCAAGGCCCATCACCCCTAAATACCGCAGTGGGTATTTCCTCCTTAACAAGGCTACTCTCCTACACAAAAACAATTGTCATTCAAACCAGAAAAGTCAACGTTGACACTGCCACCATCTAATCCACAGACCTGTCCAAATTCCTCCAGCCATCTCTACAATGCCTTTCTCCTGTCTAGTTAGGATCCAATCCAGAAGCACGTTTGATTTTGTCATGGTGTCTCTCTCTCTCTCTCTCTCTTTTTTTTTTTTTTAACATTTTTTTTAGAAGTAGTTGGACATAATACCTTTATTTTATTTATTTATTTTTATGTGGTGCTGAGGTTCAAACCCAGGACCTCGCAAGTGCTAGACAAGCGCTATTACCGCTGAGCCACAATCCCAGCCCTTGTCATGGTGTCTCTTAACTCTCCTTCACTCTGGAGCATTTCTTCAATCTTACCCTAGCTTGCTGAGGTTGACAGTTTGAGTAGCAGAGGGCTTTCATTCTGTAGGCTGTCCCTCAACCGGAATCTGTTCATTGCTTGCTCATATCCAGACCTAGCTCCAGGGGTCTTAAACCTGGTTGATAAAATTTCTCTGGCCATTGAGTTCCTGTCCATCTTGGTTTCTGTTGCTGCTGTCCTTTTTCTGTGTCTCATGAGGCATTTTAGAGGCAGACGAGAAGACATCAGGTACCATTTTTAAAGAGAAAGGGCCCCTCCTTCAGACTTCAAATGTTTCATTTTTTTCATCTAAAAATAAGAAAACATATTAATTCATTTAGCGAGTGTAAGAAAGAATGCAGTTAAATGTATCCCTACACCTTTCCCTAGAGGGCCTCCAACTTGCTGCACCAACACCAGGTATGAGCTGGGGTTAATGCCTTGACCACACCACCAGCAGGGTTAACAGTGGGTCAAAAGTGTGACTCCACAAAGAATAGAGAAGAGGAACTGACACAGAGGCACCTCTCAGGCTTCGTCCCCACAGTTCTCTAGCTGTTGTCACTTCACAGAAATATAAAGATCAAAACGCTGACTTTTTCAGCTAGAAAGGGTCAAGGCCAGGATTAGACCCCAGATATAATAGATCTATAAGCACCAATCTCTCCCTGCCCACTTTACCCCTCCCATATTGTAAGTGATAGCTATGATTTGTGAGCCTGATAAAAAGTCTAGCAACTCTGCTGTTGTGCAGATCCATGACCCAGGCAGAGGGGTGATCTGAGCACCAGTGCAGAAGTCGCAATAAGAGCTGGTTGAGGTTGTGTGAGGGGCTTGGTTCAGTTCTGGTGCACCCATTTCAGAGATGTGATGAAAGGTGCGTAAGGACCACATTGAAGAGAGCCCAGGTTCCCAGTCCCAGAATCTAATGGTTCATCACAACTAAGAAGGAAGACTGCAACAAAAGCAGGACTTTGGAGAGGTTCAAAAGGCAATGGGGTGCGCTACTTTAGGGGTGTAGGAGGAGCTGAGAGACGCAGCTAGGCTGTGGACACCCTGCTGCCTGGGATCTTGTTCTGCAGAAGGAAGCTTAGCCTTCCTCTTGAGTCCCAGATGGAAGGTTTCTTTTCTTTCTTAAAGCCCACGGGCCCTGAAATCTCCCAAGAGTAATCCAGGTCTCTTTGCTCCTCCCTGACTCCCACTGGGGCTGGGGCTTCTAGAGTTGGTTGCCTTTAAACTGCAGCAGAAATGACTAGAGGCAGAGGTAGAGCTATGTGTAACTGATTCATATAAGTGAGAACACTACAGAAGGGGAAGGTCCCTCTAGCAGGCATGGTGCGGGCATTCAGGAGGGTTAGACATGAGCCCAAACTTGGGTATCTAGGCAGTAACTGCTGTAAAAATTCAGAGCATGGAAGAATGGGGAATTCGTTGGTAGAAGATAATCAAAGTTACTGACCAAACTCATAAACTAGTGGCTTCCCTCATCCTCAAAATGTTGCTACATCTTCCTCTATATTGTGTTCATTCTCTTGACTGACAAACTTCTTCTTGTCTGTGGGAGGCCAACCTTACACGTGACTGAGTTACACTCCCCGGCTGGGTGCTGAGGCGCTCAGTTGCAGAAATGTGGCACCCTTCTTGGGTGCGAGGGTTGGTGTCTCATGCATGGGTGTGTCTTGCTACAGCCCCATGGGTGAAGCTATGCTCACCTGTTCCTTTGTAATATAACCCCTTGCCCTGTTTAGGATAGAATCTTCCATGGAAGTGCCTTGGGTGTGGCCTACCCAGGTGTCAGTCAACCTGCTGACAGTGGACATCATGAAGATACTCAGCCCCCTGAAACCTGACCCCTTACCTCATTTAAATAACTTCTCCTCAATAAAAGGGGTCAGCCCATGCTCTCACTCTCTGTCTTCCTGCGGACCCTTAAGGTCAGAGGAACCGTCACAGCAACCCCAAGGAAAAAGGTATTTGTGTCTCTTGTGTGGTTATTTCGTGCAGCCCAGTTAGCCCCGTTTAACTGGAGTGACCCCTGAGCCTTTTAGTCGCGAGAACAGAAACCCAGCACTTGTCCTGGGAGATCATTTCAGGACAGCTGTCATGTTTATTGCTTCTTCTCCCTATGCCCGAGTTGGGCCATTCCCTAAATCAAAATGTGTGGAATCCTACCTTCCATTAGGTATGGGTTCTCATACCCAGAGAGAAAATCTCTGATGATAGGGGCACTGGAATGTCCAGAGCACAGCCCATGGAATGGCAATTGTCACAGCCTGCTAATTCCACCAAAGTAGTCCACGTCCCAGAGCAGCAGCTCTGTGGAGTTCCCATAGTGGAGCCAGAGTGGGCAGGTACTCCAGGGTGAGAAGCTGCCCACTTCCCCCAAGTCAACTGAGAACCTGACCTCTCTGGCTCCCCAGATGGCTCCAGACAGTCTATGGAGAACTTCATTCCTCTGCCTCTCTCTTGGGAAATGGAAACTTTCAGAACCTACTCTGGAGTAGAGAAGGAACCAACCCAGGCATTACAAGTGAGCCTAGCATATTAGCAGGAAGGAGTCCTTCGGGTTAACCTGCCCTTGTCCCACTCCCTCTCCATTACCTTCAGACCCCAGGCTGTGGTTGACTGGATTGATGATGAACAGGTGCTTTCTACTGCGGAACGTCTGTGCCCCTAGGCTTCTAGCTCCACAGGATTCCTTCTGAACTACCTCTTCATGCTGGCTTCATGAGGACTTGGATTTTTATCCTTTGGTTCAATGTTGCAACCCTAAAACTTAGAAAAGTGCTTGGTACATGGTAGAGGCAAAATAAATATTCTTTGAATGAATGAACATTGATATAAAGTAAAATTCCTCACATATATTTAAAGGTGATGAATCTTTAGACATTAATCAAAGTAACTCTGAAATATATAAATAAAAGCTCTTGGAGAAGCCAGGTGTGGTGGCACATGCCTGTAATTCCAGCAGTTCTGGAGGCTGAGGCAGGAGAATCACAAGTTCAAAGCCAACCTCAGCAAAAGCTGTTGAAAGCCACGGTTTAGTCAGAATGACGCCTGGCATTTTTGCCAGAGGGAATGGTTGAAAGGTGACCCTGTAAATTGTTTAGAAAATTGCGTTCTTTTAGTGCCTGCTGGAATGTTACATAATTTTTTTTAGCCATCATTGCCAGAATCCCTATCTTCATCCCAATGCAGTGAAGACAAAACTAAACTACAGCTTCTTTGATAGCTATCACAGTAAACTGTATAAACTGATGCATCAATGAATAATAACTCAACAAGTGATGCTCAATCAAGAAGTCAATTTACTTTGGGAGGAAATGGACATATTAATGGATTCCTCTGCTTTGAACTGCTTGCAGAACTTGCCTGGACTATGTATCACTTGCATGCATTGTGAACTATCTGTTGGTGCAGCGAATTGTGGTAGTGCTGGGTATCTTTGCTAATGGTGTCATGGGTGGTACAATTTTTCCAAAAAGAGCCATCAGTTGGCTTGGTGCCGTGGCATTTTGCATCCTCCTCCCTTCAGCTTGTGATGGTCTAAAATTTGGGGGCCAACAGAGGTGAGGCAAAGAACCTCACCCCCACAATGGTGCAAAGGCCTATCCACAAGTATGGCTGTATGCTGGACCGGTAGTCAGTGATAGGTAAGATCCAATTATAATGGTACCAACCTAAGACAGGAGGCTGACACCTTGAGGTCAGCTCATCCGATGACGGGTAAGGACCATATTACCCGTCATCGGTCCATGTATTGGACAACCTAAGACAGGCACGGTCCCTAAGCCACATGCTTGTTGTTTAATTAAACAGAAGGGAGGAGATGTTGAGAGCCACAGTTTAGTCAGAAT